CCCATTCCTCTGTTTATCTGTAAACTCTTCTCTGTGCTCTCCTCCCCAACCAGTTAATCACCTTTTCTCCCTAATCAGATTTTATTAGCTTGTAAGATCAGATCCTTCTAAGGACACTGAACTTGTATTGTAAGTTATGTCTTTTGCATAGTTTACCTTAAAGCAATGTCCTTTCTGTATGGACACAGGAAGACAGTTAATATTATGCTTTGTAACTTGGGAGTTGATTGACTCCTAATAATATTTACTCCTGGGCATCTGCTTTCTTGACTCAGTTGCCCTTAGTTCCTAGCACCCCAAAAGCAGGGTCCTGATGAGAAACTGGATGGACCCAGGGCAAGCTGTGAGCTACCCTGGCATCGAAATAGGCCAGGCCAAAGCGCCACGATACTCAACTACAAGTTGAGGGTATGATCATGGACAAATGCTGTCGTGATCCAAAAGGAAGTAACCATGAGACTAGGACCCTTCTGGGCTAGGAAAACTAACCTGGCCTGAGGACTGTATATATATACCCGACTGCATGGTGTGTGTGTGGGTGGCCGCCACTCTCTGAGATGCCTCGGGAGATGCCCGCTCCACGCTGTTGGGAGTCTTAGGGGATGCTGGTGTGGCATACATGTCCATGAAGGACCTATGGCCTCCAGAAAGTGTTACTGAGGAGGCAGGACCAAACGGGACAAGCCTGCAGTGAGAGTAGCCGAGAATCCACCACCCCGGCAGAAACGAGAGGCAGATGGAGAGATAATGAGAGAGAGAGGGCTGACTCTTCCAGTTGCTGGGCACCCCGTGACTCCGTCACCCCAGATGTGCTCCATTGCCCTTAAGAGTTTCACATTATCATGGACATGGTCCATATTCAAAACTACTTGGCTGGGGGTGGGGGTGGGGTGGGGGGAAGGGCTGGAACAATAGCACAGCATGTAAGGCATTTGCCTTGCATGAGACCAATCCAGGTTCGACCCCCAACATCCCAAAAGGTCCCTCAAGCACTACCAGGAGTAAGCCCTGAGCACTGCTGGCTGTGGCCCCCAAGCAAAACAAAACAAAACAAAACAAATACCCAGCCAGACAGGCTTATTTGCATATTCATTGATTTATTTATTGGGGGGAGTTTGGGCCACACTCAAGTGGTGCTCAGTGCTTACTCCTGGCTCTGTGCTCAGGGATCACTCCTGGTGGGGTGGAGGGGAACCATTTGGAATATCCGGGATTGAATCTGGGGTAACCATATTGGAGGCAAGTGGTTATCCCTTAATCTCTTCCTGACCTGAGGATCTCTTCTTCATTATTGTTTTGTTTGAGGGAGACCACACCTGGCTTCACTCAGGGCTTACTCTTGGCTCTGTGCTCAGGACTTGGACTTGGGGATCCTATGTGGTGATAGGGATCAAAGCTGGATCGAATGCATGCAAGGAAAGAGCCTTATCTGTTGTCCTGTCTCTCCTCCAGCTCTGCAAGAATCATCACTTTTTAAAATGGCGGTCGGCCGGCACCATCCATCATCACCAGAAATTCGAGAATGCAGTTCCTTTCCTCCTGAGGAGTGCTCGCTGTGTTTTATTGGGTGGAATGACATTCCTCATCCATTACTGGTTGCCGACCTTCTCTGTCCCCCGCCACTGCCAAAAATCATGCGGCTGAAACTCAGTCACACGCTTCCTACCCAGAGTTGCAAGGTGGCTCAGCCGCACGAGTACTGGAATGTGAATTAGTCCAAGTGCACCCTCACCAGGAGAAAACACGTGCCAATAAGTCGCTCACAGTCATGACTCCCCCCTCCACTCCCAAAGAAACTTTTTTGTTGTTGCTTTTTGGGTCACACCTGGTGATGCACAGGGTTTACTCCTGGCTCATGCACTCAGGAATCACTCCTGGCGGTGCTCAGGGGACCATATGGGATGCTGTGAATTGAACCCAGTTGGCCGCGTGCAAGGCAAACGCCCTCCCCACTGTGCTATCGCTCCAGCCCCCCAAATAAATGTCTAAGCTTTTATTTGCTTTCAAGAGAAGAACAACTCAAAGAGAATCAGCAAAATCGGATGTTACTCCCCAGGTTTCACTTAATCAATTGGTCATGAAATAAAGAAATTATCCTGAGACCAGAGAGAGCACAAGGGGACAGGCACTGGACCCACATGTGGCTGTCCTGGTACCATCCCCAGCATCTCATTTGCTCCCCTGCTAGCACCCCAGCGCTCAATGTTTTGGCCAGGGTTGGAGCACAGCTGGTGGTGCTCAGGGCTTACTCCTGACTGTGCTCAGGGGTGACCCCTGGGTGGTGCAAGTGCCTGACCACTGTGCTGTCTCTCCAGGGGCCACCAGACTGGTCATTTGGAACCACCGAGCCAGGAAAAGAAATTGTACTATTGGGTATTTTTGATACTATAAATAAAATATGGCCAGGCCAGACAGTGTTAGAGCACAAGTGGCCTGTGGAAAGGAAAGGAAGTTTAGGTTTAGCCAGTTCTTCTTCGTCTTTATTATTATTATTATTAGATTTTGGACTATACCCGGAAGTGTTTAGCAGGACAATGTGGGATTGAGGGATTGAGCCAAGGACCTCCGTGCAAAGCAAGCACTGAGTCTTCTGAGCCCTCTCAAAGGCCCTACATTTTCCATTTATTTATTTATTTGTTTATTTACTGGGTTTGGAGCCAGACTCAGCAGTGCTCAGAGGTTACTCCTGGTTCTGCACTCATAAATCACTGCTGGCAGTGCTTGAGGGACCAGATGGGATGCCAGGAATTGAACTCAGGCCGGCCTTGGGCAAGGCGAATGCCCTCCTCACTGTACTATCGCTCCAGGCCCTGGATTTTCCTTTTAGCTGGTGATACTGCATCCCTCATCTGATTCTGTGCCAGGCCAGGGCAGACAGTGTTAGAATGAACACATGTGGCCTTAAAATGGATTCCTCGCAGAGTGAGGTAAGTCACGAGGTTAAAAAGAGAGACGGACAGGGCTATCTCACCCGTGAGTGGGTCAGGACAGAACACTAATGAGCAAACCAAACAACAGAGCGATGGACTCAAGACAGCGGCTGTGCTGGGGTCTCAGAGACAGCACCCCATGTGCACCCCCAAGCACTGCCGGGTGACCTGGCAGCTCCTGGCAGTTCTTGGCAGCCCCATACACGCATGCCCTGGCTTTGACTAGTCAAGCCTGGTAACAAGGGGCGTGGTCCCCAGGTCCTGAGCCCTGCAAACAAGGGGGTCCCCTTCACCAGGCCAAAAGAATGGGAAATGGTAGTGGGTCCATGGACTAGAGCAATAGTATAGCGGTAGGGCTCTTGCCATGCATGTGGCCAACCTGGGTTTGATCCCTTGGCACCCCATAGGGTCCCCCGAGTCTGCTAGGAGTGAGCCCTGAGCACAGAGGCAGGAGGGTGCTCTGAGCAGCACCTAGTATGGCTCAAAAGCAAAAAAAAAAAGAGAGAGAGAAAAAGAAAAAAGGTGGTGGGTTCTGTTTGTCTAACAAATACAGATTCCTGGGCCTTGACCCCAGGACGCAGAACTGGCTCTGGGATGCAGAACTCAGGAGGGGTCACTGCCCGGGGGAACCCGTCTCTACACGACAACAGGGTCCGTGTGCAGAACCTGTTTTTCACTGAAGTTGGGGTGCACTGGATGCCTGGACTCCTCCTCTGGTCCAGCTATATGACATGTACTTCATCACACAGAGAAAATACCAAACCGTGCCCATCTCATTCTCTGGCCCCAACAGCACCCCTGGGACCCTCACCCAAGGCTCCCACCCTCAATTGAAAGGAGAACCTTCCGGAAGGCGCAGAATGAGAATACCCAAGAGCGGGCACCGTCACCTCAGGATAGAAAGAGGTGAGGAGACACCAGCGTCCAGCCGAGCTGCTGAGGAAACCACCGACAGGCCTCAGTTCCACCCCCGGGGAGGAACAGGGGATTCTGTGAAGGAGAGCCATTTCGGTCTCTGCTCAACCCTCAATGCTGACACAAAGCATCACTCATACTCGAGGAGACCAGCTGCCATGAGTGAGACCCCCCACAGCTGGTTTTCAGTCAGCTTAGATTCAAGAGTGTCGCGAAACGGCCAGGTTCTCTCCCAACACAGCTCTTGAGACCAAACCAGGTTCCACGCATGGGTGGGTGGAGGCCCAGTGAGAGGACTTACCAACAGCCTGGTGTGCACCTGTGTGTGAGAGTGTGTTTATGTGTGTCTGAATGTAAGAGCACATTTGTGTGTATGTGTGAGAGAGAATGTGTGAGAGTACATATGAGAGAGAATGTGTGTGTGTATGTGTGTGTAGGATAAGTATTTTGGAGTGTGTGAGAGCATGTTTGTGTGTACATGAGAGAATGTGTGAGAGTGTGTATGTGAGAATGTGTCCATGTGTGGGTTTGTGTGAGAGTATGTGTAGGGTATGTGTGTTCTGGAGTGTGTGAGGGGATGTGAGTGTGAGAGCATGTTTGTGTGTATATGATAGTATGTGTGTGAGTGTGTGTGTGAAGAATGTGTGCATGTGTGTGTTTGTGTGTGTAGGGTACATGTGTGTGTTTTGGAGTGTGTGAGAAGATGTGTGTGTGTGAGAGCATGTTTGTGAGAAAGTATGTGTGGAAGAGCATGTTCCTGTATGAGTGTTTGCAGTATACATGCTTTTGTGTGTGTGTGTGAGTGAAAGCATGTTTGTGCAAGAATGTGTGCATATGTTTTATGAGTGTTCTTTGTGACAGGGTGTGAAAGGATACGTTTGCAGTGTATGTGTGTTTCTGTACATGTGTTACTGAAAACATGCATGTGTATGTGTGAGAGTGTGAAAGAGCGTGTTTGTGTGAGAACATGTGCCCTTGTGTTCATATGAATGTTTTTATTTGTGCACATGTGTGAAAGGAGTATGTGTGTGTGTCTTAGGTGCATTTGTGGGAGAGTGTGTGCCCACGTATGGGCGACTGGGTGTGTGTGCACATTCGCGTGAGACCAAGTGTGGTGTCCTCAGAGAGGAGGCCTGGGGGGCGCCGGGGGCTTACCGATGGCGGGCCCGCCTTGCTTCTTGTCCTCCAGGATGGCCGCCAGGTCCCGGGGCGTGGGCTTGTGCGTCTGGCTAGCTGGGGTCTGCTCAGGCTCAGGGCCCTTCACCTTCAGCAGGTGGTTGGCCTTCTTGATCTTCTGACTGTACTGGCGAGCCATCATGAACACGCGGCTCTTGGTCTTATCGGTGGGGTCCAGCTCCAGCTCTGCCCCTTCGGGGTCCGTCTGGGGCAGGTGGCTGTTGACCAGGTCATAGGGATTTCCCAGCGGAGACAGTTCGCTGGCCAGCGAGAGCCGGTTCAGGGTCCCCCTGGCATCTTCTGGGGCGATGCGGTCACCTTCCTGCAGCCAGTTGGCGCGGCCGGCCCGGCCTGGCCTGCCTTTCAGTGGGGAGCTCAGAGGCTGGCTCCCCGGCAGGGAGAGGGTGGACGGGGCACGAGTCGCCTCCCGGCTGGGCAGCGCTGGGCGACCCTGGGCGTGGGGCCCATCGGGCACATCGTCCTGGCTGACCGGGAAAGCGGCCAGCAGCCGCTCACGTGCCTTGTCCTCGTTCTTCTTGATATAATTCTCCAGGTCATTCCAGATCTCGTCCACCTCCTCGGACAACTTGTCGGACAGCGACTTGGTGCTGGCCGAGGCGCCATAGAGCCCGCTCAGGTACTCGGGGTCCCTGTGGGCCGGGGGTCGCGGGCGGGTGGCTGGGGCCTCGTCCTCGCTCAGCTGCAGGCTGTCCTGTGATACGAAGGGCCGCAGGCTGTCGCAACAGGCGAAGTCGGTGTCCAGGCCCAGGAAGCTGGTCCTCTTGGGCGGCTTGAGGCTGCTGCCCCTGAAGTCCCCCACGGGGGCCGGTTCAGGCAGCCCGATGGTGTCATAGATGTTCTCTTCCTCCTCCTCTTCCTCCTCCTCCTCTGGCTCCCGTGCACTTGGGCTGGCTGCTGCCACCTGGCCAGGCAGGGGTCCCTCTTCCATGGGACGCAGGGAGCCCGGCTCGTGGCCCGCCCGCCTTTTGGAGAAGGCCAGCTCCGGGGTGCTCTTGGGACGCACGGAGCCCCGGCTGGGCTTGGGGGGCGACGTTTCCGCGGCCTCTCTCTGGGCCACCAGGAATTTTAGGTCCTCGTAGCTGATGTTGTCATACACGTGGTCCAGGGGGTCTGCGGTCAGCTCCAGAGACGACCCGAAGGGCGTGGTGGTGTCCTCCTCCTGAGCGCCCGCGGGGGGCCGGTCCTGCAGCACCCTTGGGGTGCGGGCGCCGCAGACTCCGCCGCTGTCCCGGGTCCTGACTTCGGCGGCCGCGCACGTGTTGCTCTCGCCGGCGCTGCTGGCCCGCCGGACCACGCGGTGGCCGGCCCCGGGGCTGCCCGAGGCCTCCATCTGCCCCAGGTGCCAGCTGCAGGGGCGGCTGGCCGCGCCGTCCTCGCACGGCAGGAACATCTGGTAGTCATCGTCGTCCTCGTCCTCCGGGGAGCGGCGGCTGGGGAACAGGGCCTGGCGGATCTGGTGGTCGGTCCAGATGTTCCGCGTGCCCACCAGGGCCGCGCCACCGCCACCGCCAACGCTGGGCTGACTGGCTCTCTGCGCCGGCGTGGAGACCGCGCAGGGCAGCCGGGGGGACCCCTCCTCTCCGGACGCCTGCGGAGGACAGCGACAGGACCCGTGAATCTCCGTGCCAGGGAGTCCCTACCCCGACACGCAGCCCCGCACTCCCCCCATCCCCATACCCGACATGGGACTGTCCGGCAGGACCCAACAAATGTGGGCGTCCAGCTGGGCAGGCTCTGGGGCCTTGGGTGAAAAGAAACGCAGAGGGCTGGAGCGATAGCACAGCAGGGAGGGCGTTTGCTTTGCCCGGGGCCGCCACCCCATATGGTGCCCCAAGCACCGCTGGGTGTAATTCCTGAGTGCAGAGCCAGGAATAACTCCTGTGCATCGCCGGGTGTGACGCAAAAAAGAAAAAAAAAGGGGGGAGGGGGGGACTGGAGCAATAGCACAGCGGGTAGGGCGTTTGCCTTGCACGCAACCAGCCCGGGTTCGATTCCCAGCATCCCATATGGTCCCCGGAGCACTGCCAGCAGTAATTCCTGCATGCAGAGCCAGAAGTAACCCCTGTGCATTGCCAGTGCGACCCCCCCCCCAAAAAAAAAGAAGAAAAAGAAAGAAAAGGAATGCAAACAGGCTTTACCTTTTGGATGTCTTGTACTGTTTCTGAAAAAGAAAAGATGATGATTATGATTTTTAAAAGTTTATAAACAGTGTCTCAGGCAGAGGTCTGTACTCATGGTGTAGGGTGATGAGGAACCGGAGGTTCCCAGATGCTAAGCATATGCTGGACCCCTTGAACCATCTCCCCAACCCTGGCTTTCTATTTTATAACAAGACTCTCTGCATCTTACAGAGTTTTGTTGGCTGTTTTGGGTTTTTGAGCATGTGGGAGTGCTCAGGGGACAAGATATAGTACCAGGAGAGCCATAGGTCCTATGTTTTCTCTCCCTTTGGCCCATCCTTATAGAAGTTAATCCAATCTGCCCATATATACACCTCCCCTTACTAAATAGCAGTAAGAATAAAAAAAAAAAGGGACTTACCACTGGTCTTTAAAACTTTATGTGTCCTTGAGGAAGGTTCTGTGAGAATAAATATAAACACAGCACCATAAGTAAAACCTAATCAAGGTTTTATTAAATGTATGATTGAACTATGCATTTATAAAAAAAATAAAAACAGAGCTCTAGAAATCTGTCCATTTTCCACGTCAGTCACCCTTCTCCGAGAAACATTAGCCTTCATCAAAATCAGGAACACTGAGCCTCACAACTCGGGGTCAAAGTAACAGAGTTTGGGGCTGGAGCGACAGTACCGCAGGTAGGGTGTTTTCCTTGCACACAGTCAACCCAGATTCGATTCCCAGCATCCCCTATGGTACCCCCAAGCACAACCAGGAGTAATTCCTGAGTGCAGAACCAGGAGTAAGCCCTGAGCATTGCCGGCTATGACCCCCACCCTCCCAGAAAAAAAACCAACAAAACAAAACAAAACAAAAACACCCCCCAAAAAGAAAACCCCATTTGCCAAACTTGGAAAGGGACTGGGCAGGCAGCCCTGATAAAGGCCGCCTTGGAATCCCGTCCCTCTCAGCTATTACCTGACTTCCTCCGCAGGCGGTAGGGAGTGGAGCTGTTTCTCGACGCGCAGAAGGCTTTCGTCTCTCCCTCAGGGCTGTAGCAGAAGCCGGGGTGGTCTGTGAAGGGAAACCCAGGGTTACGGGCCCGCATCAGCCTCCCCACCCCATGACGGAGGCTGGTGCTCACCTTTAGATTCACTGTTTGCTTGTTAGGTAATATCGTCCCCTTCAGAACGGGGGAGACTTCACTTCTTCCCAGAGTCCTAGTCCTACACATGCCCTCGTGAGCACACACCAAACTCACACAGCAGCATACGCACGCATGTACAGACACAGCAACAGCCTTGCACACACCAACAAACGTGCATATATGCACACAGCTCCACACTGTCTCAATGCTCCTTCTTCATTCTTTTTTTTTTTCTTTTTGGGTCACACCCGGTGATACACAGGGGTTACTCCTGGATCTGCACTCAGGAGTTACTCCTGGTGGTGCTCAGGGGACCATATGGGATGCTGGGAGTTGAACCCGAGTCAGCCGTGTGTAAGGCAAATGCCCTACATGCTGTGCTATCTCTCCAGCCCCCCCTTTTTCTTTTGAGGGGCACCTGGTATTTGGGGCCACACTCAGCAGTGCTTGGGGCTTGCTCCTGGCTCTGTGCTCACTTCTGGAGGGGCTCAGGGGACCCTCTGGGGTGTCAGGGATCCAACCCAGGTCAACTGTGTGCTGGGCAAGCTTCGTACCTGCTATACTATCTCTCTAGCCTTAATAATACTCTTTTTTTTTGCTTTTTGGGTCACACCCGGCGATGCACAGGGGTAACTCCTGGCTCATGCACTCAGGAACTGCTCCTGGCGGTGCTCAGGGGACCATATGGGGTGCTGGGAACCGAACCTGTGTCGGTCATGTTGGCTGCGAAACGCCCTACCCGCTGTGCTATCACTCCAGCCCCAATAATAATCGTTTTTAATCGTTATTTGAGGTTCTGGGAGCACCACACCTGCTGGTGCTCGGGGCTTCCTCCCGGCTCTGTGTTCCAGGATCACTCCTGGAGGGGTTTGGAGGGACCATCCTCAGTGCTGGGAAGGACGTGTGGGTTGGCGTCTCTCGGGCTCTCCACGTCAGCTCTCTAACGGGTAGAGCTGCATAGTCTCGGTTTCCCTCGCCCAACAGAGCTAGGCTATACTGTGGCTTCTCATTCCCACCCTGAATCTCCTCTCTGCAGCTCTGTGTGGCTCAGAGGGCAGAAATTTTAACAACAGACACAGAAACCCCTTGTTGTAAGATCCCTGAGTCTGGGGGTGTGGAGGGAAGTTTGCAGGAGAACCTCATCGAGCTGGGGTCTCTTGCAGGCTTGGAAGTGGAGGAGCCCAGCCCCCAGTCCCCAGCTCTGAGGCCAGGAAGCTGCTGCCCCCTGCAGGGGTCGGATGCATGTTTTTCCCACAAAGAGAATTTCCTCTTCAAGTCTGACTGCTGAGGCCGTGCATTAAGGAAAATGGCCTTAATCCACTGCTTTTCCCAGCCAGGGAGGAACACAATTGAGACGGTGGGAAACTGCAATCTTAGAGCTCTATGGCCATCAGGAAAAGCAGTGACTGTCTAGAAAGAGAGTTTCTCACAGGTAATCAACAGTTTCCTTTTGGATGGGCAGCGTGGGAAATGCATGGTGACACTATTCATTGACATGGAATCTAGCCACTATCAGGAGCCTCTTCAAGGAAGAAAGGAGCCTTGTGTTAGAAGACACACGTGGCCTGGAACCTCTTTTCTGTTGAGTCTCATGGATTAAAAAAAAAAAAAAAAGCCCAGGGGCTGGAACTATAGCACAGTGGATAGGGTGTTTGCCTTGCATCTGGCCAACCGGGGTTCAAGTCCAGGCATCCCATATGTGGTCCCCTGAGCACCGCCAGGAGTAATTCCTGAGCCAGGAGTAACAGCTGTGCATTGCCGGGTGTGACTCAAAAAGAAAAAAAAAGCCCATAGTGGGGTGGAGAGAGGGTAGAGTGGGGTGTTTGACGCCATGAGCACTGCTGGGTTTGGCCCCAAAACTAACGAGAAAAAGCAAAAGGAAACAAACCAATCTGTAGAAAGCTGCCACTTTCTTAGAACTGACCATTTCTACACATTAAGGGAGAACAGTGATGGGTACCAGCAGACAGTAACATTTCAAGTTTTGTGAAGAAAACAAACTTACGAATGGCATCCATTTCCAGTATTGCTTGCTTGGCCTGAAAGGGGAAAAGAAAAGTATACATTACAGTGACTTTTGTTTGTTTATGTTTTTTCTTCTTTAAACTATCAAGCCTAGAAGTTGTCTTATTCCAACGGGGATAAGAACCTTCAGCACTCAAAAAGCTCGGATGCATCCCTCTTGTTCAAGGGAAACCAGAGAGAGGAGCGCCCTCGTGTGGGAGGAAGACGCGCTGCCGCTGATGTACCAAACTGGCTTCTCCTTCCCTTGGAGATTGCCAGCCCTGCAAGGTCACCAGCGTTGCAGGATTTTCTGACCCGCCAGACAGTCCTGAATACAGAAACACAGAACCATGAAGCCTAGACCAGAGGAGATGTCTAGACATCGGTGGAGGACATGGGGGGTGGGGAGGGTAGTGAGCTTGTACCTCAGTACTATACATATTAACAAAATTGTAACTTCCCTAACCATAACAAATAAAATTAAAATATGATTTTAGGAAATTCCGGGTATACCACGTCTATGGGCTGAAAGCTCTGGGGCCTTCTCAGAGTTGGGGCGGGTGGCTTCCCCCCACCTCTCACCCCCTCTACTGTCTGAATCTCAGCCTGCCCCCACACTGAGCTAGCTTGCTTTCTTTCTTTCTTTCTTTCTTTCTTTCTTTCTTTCTTTCTTTCTTTCTTTGCTTTTTGGGTCACACCCAGCGGTGCTCAGGGGTTACTCCTGGGTCTGCATTCAGGAATTACTCCTGGTCCTCGGGCAACTATATGGGATGCTGGGAATCAAACCCAGGTCAGTTGCATGTAAGGCAAATGCTCTCCCCGCTGTGCTATTGCTCCAGCCCCTGAAGTTTCTTTTTGTGGCCTAATGGCACTGGCATATAAAGGGCCCAGCCCAACAGCCTCACAGCTCAGCTTAGAGATGTCAAGCTGAAGAATCGTCCCATTCCTACAGCTCCAGGAGCATGTGACTACATACGTGGCCTTGTGACACTTCCAAATTCCACTATGCTCAGCCCAGGTTAGATGGGAACGGGACACAGAAGCCCAAGAAACTCAATAAATGAAAACAACAACCTAGAAGACTCAATGAGCCACAAACATCCCAGTAAACCCTCTGACAATGACTTTAATAACACCACTGGGAGATCTATAAAGGTAAAGGTAAAGGTAAAGGCCCTCCCGTTGATCGTCGATTTGCTCGAGCGGGCCCAGTAACGTCTCCATTGGAGACTTTGTTGTTACTGTGTCTGGCATATCAAATACTCTCGGTAGCTTGCCGGGCTCTCCGAGAGGGGCGGAGGAATCGAACTCGGGTCGGCCGTGTTGGCCACTTGTAAGGCGAACGCCCTACCGCTGTAAATTGTCATAAATTTCCTTTCACTGAACTTAAAAAAAATTCCACTTACCATTTTGATTTAATGAGCAATATAAAATAAATTATTTTGGGTTTGCCAAGGAGGCAGGCTTGGGGGGTGGGTGGGAAACTGGGGGCAGTTGGGGGGGAGGGAAAGTCACACTGGTGGTGGGGTTGATGTTCAAACATTGAATTCCCGGGACATGAACAGCTTTGTAAACCGCGGCCTTGACAAATAAAGTTAGAAAGAAAAAGAATATTATTTTACCTGGATAACCACTAGCATCAATAACATTATCTTAAAATGTAGATTCCTACGACCCACCCTGATCTACTAAACTGAAGAACTCAAGAGTAGAAGTTAAAATCTATACCCTTCTTGTATCTGGTGAGCCTGAGCTCCTTGTTTGATTTGGCCTTTTTTTTTTTCTTTTTGGGTCACACCCGGCAATGCTCAGGGGTTACTCCTGGCTCATGCACTCAGGAATTGCTCCTGGAGGTGCTCGGGGGACCATATGGGATGCTGGGAATTGAACCTGTGTTGGCCATGTTGGCTGCGTGCAAGACAAACGCCCTACCCACAGTGCTATCGCTCCAGCCCCTAATTCGGCCTTTTTTAAATTTATTTTTTATTTTTTATTTTTTCCTGACACCCAGTTGTTCTCAGAAGTTGCACCTGGCTCTGTGCTCAGGGATCACTCCTGCTGCTAGTAGGGGCTGAACCTGGGTCTGTCAGATGCAAGACCAGCACCTTCATTATCTCTAACTCTTCAGTCCCAGCAATTCAAGTCCATTGTAAAAAGTTTGCTGGGAGTTTCCTCTGGCTACATTCCCTCTTCTCTGATGCCTCATCGTCATCAGGAAACTCTCCCAGGGTGCCTCTGCACCTACCATCTCCAAGGGTGCCTCAGAAACGCCCCGAGGGGGAGAGAGCACTGTGTGTAAGCGTGTACACAAGTAAACACATGTAGTGAAGTGTGGGGTGAAAAGAGCTAGGTGCATGTGTGATGTCTGTGCACGTGTGAGCACGTGTGTTCATGGGTGAAGATGTGAGCATGTGTGATGGTGGGGGTCTGAGACTCACTCTGGGACCCAAGTCTGGGGCTTCTTCGGAGGGACATGGGGGGCTTCACTCCAGGCAGCGCCCTCAGCTGTCAGCGCTACTCTTGGGAGCAAATGTCAGGCTCATGGTGCAGCTGTGACCCAGAACCTCCTGTCTGCACCCCTCAGGGGCTCACCAGACCCCTTAAACCTCCACGGTGGCACTTTCTCCCGCATGGCTCCCTCTCTCCCTTTGGGGAGGGACAAGTGCTGAGGTGTCTTTCTTTTTCTTTTTTTTTTTTGACATTTAACAAATAATTTATTTTTTATTAAAATTCACGGAATCACAGTCCTCCCATTGTTCATCGATTTGCTTGAGCGGGCCCAGTAATGTCTCCTTCGTGAGACTTGTTGTTACTGTGTTTGGCATATCGAATACGTTACGGGGAGCTTGCCAGGCTCTGCCATGCAGGCGAGATACTCTCGGTAACTTGCCGGGCTCTCCGAGAGGTATTAAAATTATTTATTAAAAATAATTCAATATACCCAAAGATCATAAATATATGTAAATTAGGAGACAATAGACAACAGTAAATCTGACAATTAATTTAAAAACCAGAATATTTTCAAATAGCTTTTATGAATGGATTTGCACTTCACTTATACAGTCCACCTTTCTTTCTTTTTTAAAATTTTTTAAAAAAATTGAATCACTGTGGGCGCTGGAGCAATAGCACAGCAGGTAGGGTGTTTGCCTTGCACGGGGCAACCCAGGTTTTATTCCCAGCATCTCATATGGTCCCCTAAGCACCACCAGGAGTAATTCCTGAGTGCACGAGCCAGGAGTAGCCTCTGTGCATCAGGACCACCAGGAGTGGTCCAAAAAACCAAAAAAAAAAAAGCATTACAAAGTTGTTCATGGTTGGGTTTCAGTCACACAATGTTCCAACACCCATTCCTCCACCAGTATACATTTCCCACCACCAGTGTCCCCCAGTTTCCCTCCCATCACCCCAATATGCCTCTATGGCAGAGCTCTCTCTCTTTCTCCTCCCTCCCTTCTCTCTCTCTTTCTCTCTCTCTCTCTCTCTCTCTCTCTCTCTCTCTCTCTCTCTCTCTGCACCGAGGTTTCTTTTTGTGGCCTTGTGGCCCTATGTGATGTGATCTGGAAACCACAAGGGTTCATGTTGCCCGAACATGAAACATAACTTAAGATGCAAATAGGAGGGTCGGAGCAAGTAGGTGCTAGCTTTGTGCAGGACAACATGGGTTCCATCTTTGGTACCCCATATGGTTCTACCCCTCACCCCTTCAGGTGTTATTCTTTTTTTTTTGGCTTTTTGGGTCACACCCGGTGATGCTCAGGGGTTACTCCTGGCTCAGCACTCAGGAATCACTCCTGGCAGTACTCAGGGGACCATATAGGATGCCTGGAATCGAACCTAGGTTGGCCGCGTGCAAGTCAAATGCCCTACCCGCTGTGCTATCACTCCAGCCACCACGTGTGATTCTTGAGTGAAGAGCCAGGAGTCAGGATTTAGCATCACCAGGTGTGACCGCCAAACAAAACGAACAACATGATTCAAAGAAGGAAATAATTTCGGCTTACTTGCCTTTCTTGTCTCTTTAACGTTATCGTAATTTTTCAAACTACGGACATACTAAAATCATTTAAAAATGAAGGGGTATGTCACAGCAAAGTATTTAAGCTGAATGGAAATCATATATTTTTAGAAAAAAGGGCTGGGGAGTCCGAATGTCACCATCTCAGTTTTGGGAAGACAAATGCTTCCATTTTTATAGGACCATACTTGCATCATCAACTTGGAATTTGAGATGAGCAGTTGGAATTAGTTTCAAACGCAAATGGCAGCTTGCCTCCTGTGAAATGCATTTCCAGAACCAGGTTTATACGTAAAGTGCAAAGGTCCACCATCACCTTTATTCTCAGTTTGGACAAATTAAGCTTAGGGGCTGGGAGATACTTAAAAGGTCGAAGCACAGACTTTACACGCAGGAGACCTGAGTTCAAGTCCTGATTCTGTCCTCCCTGTTCTCTACCAGTGTACATTTCCCACAACCAGTGTCCCCAGTTTCCCTCCCATCAACCCCCAATCTGCCTCTATGGTGTCTCTCTCTCTCTGCACCCCCACACCAGCGCCTCTCAGGGTGACCCTGAGGACTGCCAGGGGTGATCCCACCCCCCAAGTCCCTTACATCTAATATCTCCAAGGTTCAGTGTGACATTTAACTGAGAATCAGACAGTTCTAGCATCTGCCACTAGGGGGCAGCCAGGGACCAGGCTTGAGTGGGTTGGGAGGAAGGCCCAGTGATATCCTTATTCCTAGGACTGGGTCACACGTTATTGGTTCTTTAAAATTTCCCATTGGGCACTTTCTTGCTTTAAAAGGAATACATATATTTTATTTTTAAAAATTTTATTTATTTTTTTGGGGTCACACCCGGCAATGTTCAGGAGTTCCTCCTGGCTCTGCACTCAGGAATTACTCCTGGTGGTGCTTGGGGGACCACATGGGATGCTGGGAATTGAACCTGGGTTGGCTGCGTACAAGGCAAATGCCCTACACACTGAATTATTGCCCCAGCCCCAGGAATACAACTATTTTAAAGCTTGAGGA